CGAATTCACCTCAACATCCTGGATCGGTCCCAACATCCCTCCGTCGGATTCAATCTCTCGGGAACAGGAGCAGAGGGCCTTCTCCGTGGCCTTGGCCCATCTCTTCCTTCATTTACGCACGACGAGCAGGTACTACATCAGCAACTCTCAGCTCTACTCGTACGCCGTTCTGCATCTTTCATCGCCGTCGCAATTCGCAATTCGCAGTCGCAGTCGCAGTCGCAGTCAAAGTCTTAGCCGCAGCCGCAGCCGCAGCCGCAGCCGCAGCCACCACTGCCGCCGCAATACGACGCCATTCACCACCCACACCATCCATTACCCTTATCCCGTCCCATGCTGCAGTCTGCGCCGCCCGTCACCCCCTTGCCTCGATACATCTCACCATCCCAGCTTGCATTCCCCGTCTTGAAACGTGGAGGCAGATTCTCATGAGCCAATCGCAAATCGCGCAATCCCCCCAAGGGGCGCCCACCACGGATCCTCACCCAGCTACGGATACTCGACGCATTCAGACGCCCAAACTTGTCCAATGTCGAACTCGCCTTGCTATGCTTCTATGCAGCAACTGCCCTTGCTGCCATGTCATACCCTGCAGCACATCAGCCCGCGCCGGCTGGGCGACGGGACCAGACCGTCATACTGAGGTGCCTTCCAGTTGGCACGCCGCCTCTGTCTACTGATACCGCCGCCTACGATGGCTGCTCTGCCGGGCTGCCACGTATTGATGCTACCGGTATTCAAATTTCGTTGCGCTGCGTCGCGCAACATCGACATTCGCAGGCAGACTAAACCCGTCTTTGTGATTTGGCCGGACATGCCATCAAACCGGCTAAAGGATGCGATGCGATGCGCTGGAAGAGCAGGCGCCTCGTCCTGTCTCGTCAGCTGGCTGCATCACGGTACATCGGTCATGGCTGTCCGAGTGGCATGGGTCAGTCCAGTTGGTGACGAGACGCCGTCCCATGGGTTTCGGACTAAAAGGTAATATATCGAAATCCCACTGATGTCAGTCACCGATAAGCATGCTGATGGGAAACAGCGGCACGGAAAGTTGCGCCATCGTATTAGGAGCCGTACCTGAGTATTTACTCCTCGAGGCATAAGCATATGTACATGCGCCCCGAATGTGCAAATGCGACAAAACCAAGGCACTAAAAAACCCGCAGTCAACAAGCGGCCGCCCAGAGCAACGGTATGCTTGGGTTCGTGCTCGATTGGATGGTCAAGCAAATGAACATCGTCCGTCTCCCGCCAGTTCGTTTGCTACGCTACCTTGTGGTGCACTGTCTATTCTCATGGGTTGCTCTGAGTTACGATCCCCGGTGACGACTAACCGCCATGCAACGCAAGCAAACACCATCAGTTACCCTACCCGCAGAAGGATCCAAAAAAAAAACAAGACAAGCCGAGAAATCAATCCACCCACTTGGATTGACCTCGTGTTGGAAAGTGAGACGAATGGAAGTCCACAGACAGCAGAGACGTTTTCTACGGCGAGAGCACGGGCTGGCGTCACATCTAGTGGCAGATGGTGACCTTTGAGACACACCAGAAGACTGCCAGACAAGACAGCTTCCGCGCGGAATTGTGCTCGAATCTTGCACACTCATCAAACTCGAACCTTTTGTCAGATCAGAGTTGGGAGAGACACAGCGTGGCTGCAGCGCCGTTGTATATTGTAACAACAACACGCGCACAAAGTATCTGTCCATCACACACAATGGTGACAAAGGAAGCACTCGGCCGTTGGTAGTTGGCGTTGGCGTTGGCGGGGTCCATCGCCTCTCCCGGCCGCCTTGTGGCTACCCTCGTGCGCCCAGCCATGTGGTTTTCTTCTCTTCATCTGGTCGATTGCATCCGTCCAACCCGTCTCGACGGTATCATTCCAGCAATACCCAGCTTCCGCCAGCCTATCGTCGATTTTCGGCCGGTCTGACAGCCAGAGAAACGACTCACGATCAAAAGACCAGACGCGGTAGCCACCGAGCAGCGACACAGGGCAAAACGACAGCCCCGGCATTCGCTTCGGCTTCTCCCGACCAAGTGAACATTCATCTGCACATGCCCGTGGCTTGGTGTGCTAATTTGGCCCCTCTTGTCCACGGTCAGATACCAGTCCGGTCAGAGATCGCACACCTGAGCCCTGTCCCCATCCACGGTCCACCCCATCACAGATCCCAGTGCCTTCAAACGGAGTGCTTCCTTGACAAGTTTCACGCCCAAAGCCAGGTCTCAGCTTGCAGATCGATGGATAACTGCGCCCCAGGGCCTCCCATTTGCATCAACGGAGCAGCAGCGCAATACGTCGTGTACGGCTCATCACACACACTCAACCACGCTTGTTGTTTTCGGCGACCCTGTCGTCGACTTTGGGCGCGCCAATGGAACGAACTGAACTCACGATAGATCCCGCCCTGCCACAGCCTATATCACCCGTCTGTTATCATGTTGCCCTGGCTGGCTATTTGGAAATCTAAGCCCTGCGCGGACAATTCCCCTGCGGAGATCATGGTTCAGACGGAGCTTCTGACGCCATGATCTGCTACGGTCCAATCTGATGCACAACTTGATGTCAAGGGAGTCGCCCTAGTCACCGGCAACGGCCAGGACGCCAAGCTCCCACGGCAACCTAGAACCCACCCCCAAAACGACGCAAACCACCGCAGACACAGAGCGTCCGTCGTCCGTCCTTTTTCGCGACGGGATTGGGGGCCGACGACGGAGACACACGCGCACACTGCATTCACAGCACAAGAAGCATAGCACAAAGCACTGCGCGGTATTCCATCCGTAGGGAAGCAGCCAGCAGCAGGAGCAGGAGGGGGGGCCAGAAGCTGTCGCCTCTTGTGCCAGTTACACAAATCAACCCAGACAAGATGGCAGACACCCCGGTCCTTGGAAATGCACACAGCACATGGACCCTCGTCGAGCCAGCGGCCAGTCGGGGGCTTTTTTTCCCACCGGCGCGCCCAAACCTACTGTGGGGAAGTCTAAACATCGACTACATCCCTTCCCCTTCAACGCATAATGCCCAGCATCCTTGCGTTGCCGCAAGTGGAAACTCTGATCAGATTCTCTAGCTTCCCACCTTCTCTTGCACAGTGATCATGCTGGCTCCCGTTGCGAGCCTCCTCCCCGTCCCCATCTTTTCCTCCGATGCTTGTGGCTTTTGGACCTTGCCCCAGCCTGGATATTCGTCTTTTCAAGACTGAACGACGTGTGTGTTTTGGAGCCCTGGCCTGACAGCAACCAGGCTCGGTCCAGTCATCCGTCGTTCCTGTACCCATATCTCGAGCGTCTTGGACCTAGTCATGACCTTCGATACTGCTTCTGTTCTGACCGTCTCTACACCCTCCGCCCGGATTCCCAAACAGCTACCGTCTTCAATCCCTACCGTCCCTTTATGCGTTCTTCAGCACAGCCCTACTTCTGCGTGTCCCTGGCCACCCGGGCTCGTCCCCGTCTCTTGCTAACCATTCGTCTTATCTTTGTTTCTTCCTGACCTTTCCGAACATTGGCCTTGAACTCCCTCTCATTTCATCACCATCCGCGTCTGTCTGAAGCCTGCCAGCATCTGTCACAATTCGGTTTATATCGACCAAAGGCGTGTGCCTCATCCATGGCATGATAGTGCCTGCGTTCCCGAAACGAAACTTTGACGAACTTCGCCGAGGCACTCGCCCGTTGTTGACAAGTTGCTCCCCGAAGAAACAATAAGTTGAGCAGACCTCGGACTTGCTCGTCTCCTTGGTCTCACCGTCTTCTCGAAGCAAAGAGACTCGGTTCGGCCGTCTCAAGAGATCCCATCGTTTGCGGACGACACGATCAACACCATCGTCGGCAAGCCCTCGTCTGCGGACCCGAACAACGTCTCTTTCCGTCTACATACATGCGGTACACTGCCACAAACCACCCCTTGATCGTACAGCCTTAAGACCTCAGCTACGGAGAAGGGACCGTTTCCTCTGTTTCTCTCGGTTCGACGTCGATCCGACAGCTACGAACCACTTCGGCGCGCTCGAAGCCAGACGTATTAGGTCCTTTCGGATGACCCTTCACGTACACCACTGGCCGACTTGAAGGTGTTTCGGCTGTTTCAATCCGCTTTTGGAACTGTCAGTGCGACTCTGAAACGGCGATCCCAACGATAGGTCTGATATTCTTATCGTTTGCTTCTTAACTTGTCATCGTCCTCCTGTCCTACCCCTTCCCTCCCCTAGCTGCCTTCCGCCCCCCGGGCGCCACACACAAAAGCTTTGGGATCTCCCACCAACCTTATCGTTTCCTCACCCTTCCTCTCACTGCTACCACCTTGCTTCGCCGTCTCCAAGTTGTGCGACATTCGCAACCTGGGTGTACAGACGAGTATCCGATGTATCGGACTGGATCCTAGAGATCGGACATCATCATCGACGACAACAACGACAACGACAGCGACCAAGAGTCACCATCGTGAAGACTTATATCAAGAGTTGGGACTAGGGCACCAAGGTCGACATATCTGAGGCGACATTGAGATCACGGCGATCTAGGAATTGGACGAGCCGAGTAGGAAGCAAGGAGACTCTATATCATCACCCCGACGAACCGCCAAACTGGATTCCGCCCAGCGAAAGAACCTTTCCCAAGTCGTCCGCGCTTGAGCGATGGACGTGACATCACTACTGAACGTAGCGGCGGGAAACAAGCCCACTATCAGGAACAACATTCTGGAACCCACATTTGCGCCCATTGACGGACAAACCCCGATTACTGCGTCCCCGGAGAAGACGACGTCTTCCAGGCGGACCGACTTTAGAGCACCGCGGAACCGCACGCCATGGGATGCGGGCGGTTACTGTCTTCCACTATCACTAGACACGAAGATTGCTGCCCCTCCTGCGAAACCTGCGTTTTATAGCGAATCCGAAGCGGACCAGTCGACTTCCGCGAGTTCTTACGATCTGCCCTCATCGAGTTGCCATTCGAGGGCCAGCTCTCTTAGCTCCTTAGCACACGAGATGGCGCACTCCGCCAACATTACTCCGATGACGAGTACACACCCTGGACGGTACGTATTCAGCTTCCAATGAATGTTGCCGGCGGGCTGCGGTGTTTGCGACAGCTTGCGGTCGAGTTATCCCGGCCTGGCAAGCAGGGGTGCTTCAGAGCCGCAATGCCACATCGCAACTCCGTTACTGAGGCCATTCGTGCTGTTGTGTTCAGCTTTTTTCTTTCCGTTCATGTGAACTAACTGATCGTCAGGCCCAGCATATCTGGAGAGTCGGAAGGGCAACTTACTGCAAGGTAAGCCAGTGATTTTGGTGACACGCGGTCGCGCTGCTCTGGCAATCTTCATCCCATGTTGCTCATGGCGATTGTTGGACTATCTCCGCCAAGCTGTCATGCAACAAGGAATTGACCAGATCCGCTAACCCTTCAAACAGGCCAAATCTGCCACGTGAAGATGACGGCCAACATATGACGGGCGGATTTCCCAAATCCCCGAAACACAAATTTTCCGACAGCCACAGCAGTCTGTCGTCTTATACGTCTTCTAACCAGTCCGGAGGCCACTCCAGAATATCATCGCTTTCAACAGTCAGCGGCATCCAGCCGTTTACGTCGCTGTTGAACGATGTGCCGGCCTTCGACACTAAGCTGGCAGAACACCAGCAAAATATGGGACATGCGATGGTCGACATTCAGCCGCCATCGCCGAGGACCGCGGCACAGTCCGATCCGAATGCAGTATTAGATCCCAGTCTGAAAGGACCAGGTCGTCCGGGTAGCCCCTCAGATGCCATCCTCATCACTCGGGGCATGGGCAGTAACAGGTCAAGTCCTACTGACGGTTTGAGGTACGTTTAAAGCCACCCAGCTGCCATGTTCGTATCACCTCTCATCACTACACTCCTCATCACTGCACAAACACTTTCTGCGTATGAATTGGGCGAAATTGGCGGAGGAAGGAGCGACGGGTGGATTTTCATCCCATGTTGAGATGTGATGCGCCGCGCCTTCCTCCTTCGCGACTTTGGGCAGGCGCGCCTTCCAATTTTCAACCTCATTCACCAGACGAGACCGGTTTTTCAAGTCACGCGCCGGCTGCCTCCTCATTTCATCTCACCTTTTTCAGCCCTTGAGGTCGCGATAACCTCTCGATATTCACCTCCTCTGCCCTTTCACTGCCTGGCGCCGTTGATCACTCCCTTCTCTTCCCACCCCTTATAAAAATCATCTCTACCTCCGCGAGACCTCAATTTCTTCTGCTGAATACAAACAACTTGATCGATCTGAGCTGGACTCTTGCTAATCTTTTGGTATCATCAGCCCTCACTCAAAACAACAACAAGACAACCTCAATTACCTCTCCTTACCTCAGGAGCATCCGGGTTCGCGTACTCACAAGCGCGCCGTTTCTGCTCCCGACTTCGCGGCCATCTCTGCTCCTACTTTCCAGCCCTTCCCTTCTGTTTCCGAAACAGCTCAATTCCAGCCCCAACAGCCCTACGCCATGTCACCTCCGGAGTCCCCTCCGCCTGCGGCGAATCATGACGAGATCAAGTGTATGTACATCGAGAATTGCGACACCGGATCTCAGCCTCGCAAAGCCATCTCGCACATCTTTGGCCGCAACAAGCTCTGCACTCGCATGATTCCCGCTCACGTTTGGGTCCACTTCTGCCGCAAGCACTACCAGCGCAGTCGTTACCGCAACGCCCATGAGTACTCCAAGCTCCAGGTCGACCTGGTACAGAAGCAGATCGCCCGTGTTCAGCAGTGGAGCGACGAGAACGAGCGCGCAGGCAAGGCTGGTGTCGTCAACAGTTGGTCTCTCGCCATCCGCAAGCGTGAGCAGAAGCGTCTCGAGGACAAGAAAGAGTCCAAGAAGCGCGCCTACCAGGATGAGTCCGACGACGAGCAGCTCGACGGCGCCATGCTCAACGGAACCGCGGTCCCCGAATGGCTCCTCAGCAAGTGCGGTGCTGGTTACACCACGGTTGCCATTCAGGAGATTGTTGCGCAGTTGAAGACCGAGATTGACGGCGGTGGACTCAGCCAGATTCCCGACATCGAGATCCTTCCCACCATCAGCAGCGACGGTCCCGACGAGAAGCCCAAGACCTACCTAAAGCGCAAGACCAGCGGCGGCGCTGCCCACAAGCGCTCTCAATCTATGGGCGTTACCCTGAGACCCGAGGCACTCCCCATGGCTAGGCGTGTCAGCCAGCCCAACGCCTACTGGGGCCATGAAGGCTTCGATGCTTCCCGAGGTGCTATGCCTGGTATGCCCAGAGTTCCTTCTGCCATGCGCCGCATGAACATCCCGCACCGCCCCGCCTTCGGCAACATTCGCGAGGGTCATCCTGAGGAGGACTACTACCGACAGCCTCAAATGGGATCGGGTCCCTTCGTCTTCGGCGCCGGCGGTCCCCAAGGCGGTCCTCTCCCTGCTCCGACTCCCCAGCGTCGCGGTAGCAAGACCATGGCATCTCACCTCGAGACCTCCACGAACATGCCGTCCACCTACCCGGACCCTCGCCGCGCCTATCACCAGCGCTCCCAGAGCGAGATCGGAGGCTTCCACCAGGGACAGGCACCTACCTACCGCCCGTCCTCTTCTTCCGGATACGCCGCCCCTGCTGCCTATGGATACGGAACCGGCACCGTCGAGCAAGACACTTACGATGGCACATACCCTCGTCCCCACGACAACCCGTTCGTCCAAGGCACCCAGCCCAACTACTATGAAGACCCTCAGCGGCAGTACGCGTACGGCGCATCCCCGTTCCAGCCGAATCCCGCCTCTCGCCTCGGCCCCGTCGGTGTCAACAGACACGCTCGTCACCAGAGCACTCCCAATGCGCCTCGTGCGATGCACCGCGCTCCTTCAGCGCACGGCTTCGCGGTCGGTCCGAACATGACACCCCAGCATGACCAGCGCGGCGCCTACGACCGCACGCCTTCGGAGCACTCGCGCCATTCGTCTTACGCCACGCCGCCCATGCAACCTATGCAACCCATGCAGCCAATGCAGCCCATGCAGGACGCTGCTCGTCACTGATCAGCTCCTAGATCCGAGCAACAACAAAACAGCGCACTCTTTTGAAACGGCCTTCCTTATACCCGCACTATCATGTCACGTCGACACGGCATCAACTCGGAGTACACCATTGGGGAAGGCAAGCGGTCATTTGGTTTCTGTCCTATTTCCTCTCTTTTACTTTTCTCTCTTATTCTCTCGTTGCACATGGCCAATTGCATGAGGACAGCGGGGAATCAAAATTACACGGACTTTCTTTTTTCTCTTCCTCTCTTGGGAAGCCCAAGCCATCTGGGGTATTACATGGCTTTTGAGGCACGAAAATGATGGATGACTGGACATCGCACGGATTTAACGGCACAACTGGGATTTTCACGGTTGGGAATCAAGTCTAGAAAAAAACCAACAAAAAGGGTGACCTTTTCTTTTTCTTACTTTTGTCGGACACGAGCGCGAACGAGAGAGAGAGAAGAGAGTACACGAGCGGCAACACACGTTGAGGAGTCAGAGCGGGTGTGTGGTAGGGAACGGGCTCTCGGTGGGCGGGCGGTCTTGGGTCTAACTGGGTGGCTACGGTATGGAACAAAAGTGGCGTTGGGTTATCTGGTTTCTGCCATGATTTTGAAAGGTTTTTTTTCTCGAGTTTTTCTGATCCTGCTGCGGTTCACATTGACGGATGGATCCCCCCCGGGACGGACGCCGGGGGTTGGGATATCTCTTACTTTCCTTGACAACCTTGTTAATAACTTTCAGTTGAGTTTTCGGTTTTTTAGCTCTGAAGGCTTTGAATGCTTAGATAGCTCGGCCTAACGAACACGCAGTTGAGACAGAACTTTCAGTCGCGGTGATTTATGTAGGTGATGACGTGATGTGAAGCTCGCCGTGCTGTATAATTAGGTCGTGACGCCTCAAGCTTTCAGGTTCATTAGATTCGAATCGGTCGCGATCTTTGAACCCCGAAAGACAAGTGCCAACTTGCCCAACTCTTCCGTCTCGTCGGCGACTCCATAGACAGCCGCGAATCAGCCAGGGGGACTCTCATCCTCTTGCCCCCTCAGAGACGTGGGGAGGAGGACAGAGTTGACTCGCCGTTAGACATAAGACGTCCGACATACGATGACCTTTCTCTTTCCTCCCTTGGGCATTCTGTACGTTCTGTGCGCCGATGTCAATGTTCGTTATGGCTCGACAGGGCGGGACTTTTATAGATTGAGGTGACGGTGACTGAGAGAGGAGATGGCGGGAATGTTTCATGACGACTGATCATGCTGTCTAGTGGACGCGCGAGTTCACTTTCCTTGAAGACGTAGTGACGAGGATTTCTGGGATTTTCTTTCGACCTCTATGGAGGAGTGAAGGCGGCGCGGCGTTTAGCAGCTCTATAATCTCATCTCCAAGTACGCTCTGCCTTCCGAACATTCGCGGCCTCTTTCCCAGTCTCATTCCCTGAACATGATGGAACCGCCGTCCCACTCCGCCAACCTGCCGACGTTCGCCCTGCCCTTGACCTCGAAGCCCAGCCGCTCATAAAAGGGTTCGACGCCCTTCAGCCCAATGAGCCACGCCGGTACGCCCTCCTCGTCGACGCGGCGCAGGCTGTGCCTGACAAGAACCGACCCGTATCCTTTACCCTGGAACTCCGGGCTGACGCCCAGCGTCGAGAGGTACCACGCGTTCTTGCGCTTCGGGTGCTCCGGGTCATTCTTGATGGGATCGCTGGCGATATGAGAGTCGTCGAACGCGCTGACCATCTCCGGATCCATGGACCGGCATGGCCAGAGGTAGCCGGAGAGGCTGTTGAGACCCAGGAGGATCGGCTTCAGCCAGCCGCGGATGGTGAGGTTGCCCTCGTGGGCGGCCTTTTCGGCGGGCGTGGGGTACGGTCGGCGCCACCACGCGAAGGCGACGATACGCTCTCCGGAGGGCGCGGCGGGGTCCGGGATGGTGAGGACGTAGAAGAGCTGCTGTTCGGGACCCCAGTACCTGGCGTAGAAGAACCGGTTGGCCCAGGCGCGCCAGTCATCTGGGAACTCGCGCCGGTGGGGGTGCATTGTGTTTGCGATCCAGTCGTCACCGAAGGCGGCCATGAAGATCTCGGCTGCAGCTGGGATATCGGCGGACGTGCCATCCCGAACGCGGAATTCCGGTTTAGCCATGGCTGTTGCTTGATGTGTAAATCTAAGGGCGTTAGCTGGGGTTCGGTCAATGAAGATGAAATAAAGCAATGGGCTAAAGTGGAAATCCTGCGGAAATACCGATGATGTGGATGGATTTAGGCAAGCTTCAAGATGGCGTCCTCGGCTTCCGGATGGTGGAGAAAGACCGGTCGTCGTCCCATTGGCCAATGACCTCCTCCGAAACTGCTGTGCCGTAATGGAGCCAAACCAGAATCGATTGACCTGATAGAGACTTGTTCAGTGAACAGCACGTTTGAGAAGTTTGGCGAGGAGTGTGTTGGCACAAAAGGGACTGCTCGTTGCCGTATAACAAAGGTCGGGCAACTCATGTATGGATTCGTCAGTTCTATGTCGAATGAGTCAATCGGCAGGGCGTGACGCGGGGAACACCGTCTCCAAAAGTTCCCTTAAGCCCCATTTATGTATGCTATGCCGCAGGCCGAACGGGGCCGGCCCCGGACACGGAAGCCGGCAGCTGTCATCTCGCAGCAATGTTTCAATTGCGCAACAGTCTTGTCTGCAAGACTTGGGAGCGGGGAAGGGCGGTATCGGGAAAGTCCAACGGTCGGCGGTCATCGTGCCAAGAATGGGGGCCGGCCTCGGCCTGCCGTGTCGAACACTTTGAGTTCATTCAAGCCGAAGCCGAACCCTGTGGGGTAGACCATCGCCGACGGCGACGGCGACGGCGAGAGCCTCCCGTCGGCCATCGTCATATCCTGCATTGGACTCATTTTCCGCCCCCAAAGTCGTCACAGCATCGTCAAGGTTGGGCAGAATTTCAACCCGTCCACGTGGAATTCCGAAGCGGTTATCCACACGACGAGCCAACCCCAACCTTGCTCTTGCTGTTGAACGGACCAACCCGCGGCTCCCTAATTACCCCACGGCGGAAGAACGGGACGGACGGCGAAGGTGGCACAGGCAGCACATCGCCTGGCGGCTCCGAGTCTTCGGAAAGCCTTGATCAGCTTGACGTGGCACCGTTCTCCGCTACTTGGAGCGAAGAAGACTAGGCGCAGAACGCAGCGATAAGCGTAACGGCGGCGGTGTAGCGGTTTGTCAGGAAGCGGAGCGATAGCTACCGCGACTGCTGTGTAACATCGGTTGGAGGCAGCGGGCGTTCATGATGAAGCCATTTCCACCCTGGGGTGTCAGCCCTACACGGAAGGGACAGCAGAGCCAAGAGCCATAGATGGAAAGTGCTCGCTGACGGGGCTGGTAGTCTTTCTGCGAACTTTTCCACGGCGGACCGGGTTCGGGATAGAATGTCGTCAATCCGATTTTGCAATTGGCTCGAGAAGAGTCGAGGAAGGTCGGGAGGGCGTTTCCCAGGAACACGCGTGGTCAGACTGCATAGCGCTATTCTTTGCGTCGTCTGCTGGTTCGGTCTTACGCCGAGACAAACAGTCAAAGGAGACGCGTTGAAGACATGGGTTGGTTTATTCTGGATGCAATCAGTGATATCAATGCCAGTTTAGGGAACGTGGTGGGTGGTATCGAGCTGGATGCTGACCGACAAAAGGCGTGTGGGAGACAAGTGACAGGGATGATGTTGCTGCGATGCGATGGCACTAAGACGGATGCGTACATCCAGAGTTGCTGACCTAAAGTAAACCTGGAATGGAGCCAGCATTTTGACGGGGAAAATGGTCCAAGCGCGCGGAAAATATGCATTAGGTAAGGCAGCTCAGCAAGACATGGGCTTTCCTGAAGAAAGGATGGGAGTCTCATTCTTGTCTCTCGTCTTTCATCTGGAACCCGCCGGCGATTCTCATGCAGACTGGAATCCAAGGTCTTGGATCCAAGATCGACCAAGCCACTCACTGCTTTAGAATGTTGAATGTCTGGGATGGTGGTTCTAGTCGGTCTTGGCTCTTGCCGAGCAGCAACATGTGAGTGAGCCTTCAGAAGAGGAGAAGAGACATGTCCCGACGTTAAACGTCCTGTCCCACGTCACACAATGTCAGCATTTAGCTTGCATATGGTGGCATACACGATAATGGGCGTCTATGTCGTCTATTCCGAGTTACACACACCAGACTTCAAGTGTCCAAGGTGTCAACGTCTACGAATAACAACAACAAGAGCCGTTCTCGTGGTTACACAGGAAAAATGGCTACCGGGGTCCCCTCGGTGTTCTTCAAGTCGCAGTGGAGCCGGGATTAACGCTCTATCGAGAAAGGATCCGCTCATGTTCCCTTGATCCCTCCTTTTTTCAAGGAGGGGAGAGGGGCACCGGTTGAGCGACGGGAAGAGTCTGGGCCAGTGGAGCAAAACCGGCACTAAACAGCTCGACAATGGGAATGGTTGAGTGGACGGTGACTGACAGATACGGCAGTGAGTGGTTCGCTGCTCATGCTCCTACCTTACCTTAATAATCCTTAAAGCCCAGCCTTTTGCTTGTGCTGTCCGCCTCATCTCATTAAGGTACAGAAGCTTGGCGGATTGCTGCTTCTTCCTCGACTTGTGTGCCCTTGAGCGTGTCACGAAAGCAAGACACTGCCCGCCTGTCGCGGCTGCTCTTGCTACCGCCATTTCCAGCTCTTTCTCGTCCGCTGTTCTGTCTCTCTTTTTGTTGTGTGCAGACTTTGCCGATTTCTGCGCCAATTTCCTCTTATTCTCTTGTTGCCTCTTCGTCGCCGGTACCCCTCCGAGACCCGCCGGGAATCTTCTCACACAACGTCGAGCGACCTCAAACACGAAGGAGACGGCAGACTGCTATGTCGTCGAGGCCGCTGCAGCGGCTCGCCGTGACGCCGCCATCCGAGGATTCTGACAACGTCAACTCAGGATCGCGTTACACAAACCGCCTGTCATCGGCGTCGTCGAATCATCAATCCCCCGCGCCCGTGGACGCCCCGCAACGCGCCCACCGCGCCTGCGAAAAATGCACGAGAACGAAGAAGAAATGCGACAAGGGGTTGCCCGCTTGCTCGAGATGCGCGAGGTGAGTCACTTTGGGGGCCGGCCATGAAGCACCAACGCATACTAACTCGCTCACTAGGCTCACAACCATTTGCTGTTATGACTTCGTCGTCAACCCGCCATCGCTGACAATTGTCGACCATGGCATCTCGGCCCAGCACCAGTACAAGTTGGCAGGCGATGTGCGGCCCGCCTTCGACTGGCTCAACCAGGTCGACTTTACTGCCGCGCAGATCATGCATCTCTTGAATAGTCGCGGTGTCGACTGGAAGGCTTCTGCCAAGACCTACTTCAACACGGTCAACACATGGCTTGCAGTCATTAACCCCGAAGTCTGGGAGAAGCGCTGTGCTGCCGCCCAGCTGGATACGAACCCGAATGATGTTGATGTGGCTCTGGTCGTCTTGTGCATCCACCTGCTCACCATATGGAATTGCGACGAGTTTTCTTCGACTGCAATGTTGGACCATCCTCTGTATCAGTCAGCCAAACGAATGTGGACGCTCAGGAAAGCATTTACGAGACCCACTGTCGAGAACATCCAAGCCGGGGTTCTGATATCCCTCTACGAACTGGGTCATGGCAACATCATGCGATGCTACCAGACCTTTGGCGAGGCCGCTTCTATGGGCAAATTACTCAACCTCAAGCCAGGAAAGTACGTTGAGGAGGAAGCAGACCTGCCAGCTGATCCTGAAGAGGAGCAGAAACGAGCTCTCTGGTGGGTCCTCGTTATCATGGACAAGTGAGTTGCCGCCTGACTGCGATGGTTCGCCGAATTTCAAACTGACTTGGTAGAATTTCCCATGAGCAAGCCGCAACGCTTTGGACCCCTCTGCAGATGGATATGCCCTCAGAGGACGACCTTCTCCCAACGGTGCATTACCTTTGGGACGCCGAAAAGAACGGAACGGTGAAAACAATCAAACGATATCCCGTCACAATACCGGCTTCGGTGCGCGTGGGTGCCTTTCAACGATCATGCCAAGCTGCCATCCTCCTTGGCTACGCCGTCAATTGGGAGGTGGCTGCTTCCGAGCAGGAAGAACCACCTAGTGTTTATTCTTTTGTTCAACTCGAGTCTGCTACCCGAAGTCTCTGTGAGGCTTTGATCACCCGATCCGAAACCTGGGGCGAGACCCTGAATACCTACGCTCTCTGTGCGAGGTTGGTAATGTTCCGTCAATGTGCTTGACTGTCACTAATCGTCATTAGTCAATTCTGTCTTCTCTTCTATTCTTTTATGTACGCGGCGAATAGCCCCGATACACCGGCACGGGACCCCGAGACGGACATGGAAATGAAGAAGGCCGTTGCTGGCATCAACTTCACTATCGGGCTAGTCATTGACGGCTCGAGAGGCATTTTCAATGCTTACTCGAACCAAGACGACGTGCTGGAGCATTGTGCGCCAGTATGGCCTTATGCGCAATACCACACGATGCAACTTCTTCTGCATTACGAGGCTCTGCTGGAAGATGCAGACACCCAAATGCGCGAAGTTAGGCAAAGCGTCGAGAGTACAGCAAAAAGATGGGGCTGCTGTCGTTGGCTGCTGGAGGAGTATGACAGGCTTCGGGCTGCACGGAGGAGCGGATCGCATTTCTGCAGGAAGTGAGTCCATCTAGACACCGTCTCTCTGCATCTTTGTTTGTGTCTCGAAGCTGACTTTCTCCAGATGCTCTCTCGGAAGTAGGGCTTGTGGACACAACAATATGCCCGAATGATGAGCACGGATATTTCCCAACATGAGTATCCAACTTCCTCTGGGTTGGCCCAGTCGTAGTTCAGTCCCATAATCAGTGGCAGCGGGGCTAGAATTACCGATCTTGGCGTTTGACCACGGACACCAGGTGACCATCGCCTGAAGAAGAAAATAGCATCGTCTGGATTGAATGATGAATCGGAGACGAAGCTGACAGAGTTGTGACGTCGCGGAAGAGATGCCGGCCATGCTGTTGCCAACCGTCGCATAACACAGCGTCGTCGATACTTTGTTATCCGCCATGCGCCTGGTTTTGGATATCACACAGGATGGTTGCGACGAACGATAATCCCCTGAAGCCCTTTTGCGAGGCTTTCCAACACTTTCTTCCCCCAAACACCGGCAAAACTTGCTCCTGATGACGAGAATGGGATGCTGGCTGTGCGCTAAGAGATGCTCAATGTGTTTCATGAGGCTGCTTACGCTTGGGTCAGTTTTGCAAACCTGGGGAAAGCAGCTGCTTACCAATGATGCGACGAGGACCAAGCTATCTCAGCAGAGCAGTCTTACTCTTCTTACCAAGGTCCAAGGAGTAACTGTAAGAGCTTTTGCAGTACCGACGCAAACCAAACTCCTTTCCGCGCTTCGTCGCCTCAACGGTCGAAGGAAAGCCTCCGGAACGCACCACCGAGAGCCAAAAAGTAGTAAACTTCAATCTTTGTGCGGCTTCTGAGTATCTCCGGTCGCCGATGCTCATGAAGGAGGCTCGGTTTCGCAACCGGACGCAGGGTCACTCAGATGACCAACGGACGGACTCCCGCGCGTCGAAACGGAACACCAGCATCGGAACACCAGTTGCTCGTGAAAGGAGGTCAAAGGTCGAGAACTGAGCCTGCAAGGTGACGGGCCTCCCAAATGAAGTTCACGATCAAGGCAAGCAAGCGGTGAGGTCGAAGCTCTTTCTCGCAGCTTCCTCACAAAAACCGGAAATGGAGATAACCCAGTTTTACAAGCTCGGACGGGCAAGGGGAAAAAAAAACAATTAATTAAGCATCCTGCGCGTCAAACGGCTTGGACCGTCACTTCGCTGCACCCCGGTTTCGGTTTCTTCGAGTCTCGTCTCTCCCTCATTTTGCTGTGCTCGTGCCCGTGTAACTGTTGACGAAAGCCCAACCCCGCAATCAACGTAGTTCGTGCGCCCGGAAGTCATGATTTCTGTGTCCGAGATGGCCCTCGAGTCTTACGGCCTCGTACGATGCACCCCGAAGGCCATCCCCCCGACGTCGGTCTGTCTTGGGTCTGCCTTGTGCTTGAGACTCTGTGAAGCCTCTGTTGCTCTTCTTTGCAGGTGAGAGCACATGGCCGCGCCTCTCGCGCGCCAACCTGGAATATAGCCTGCAAGACAGAAGAAAGAAAATATCACGTAGCTGGGGAGAGGTTGTCCGTCCGTTGGGCGGAACCCGGGTAGACGACCCGGATGGCGGCGATCCCCTTCCCTGAGGTGAAATGTCATTAAGTAAGAGCCAATCTATTTTCCGAGTTGTCCTAGTCAGTGATTACGGCCGGCCGGCAGAGTGGGACGGCAGAGTGGTCAAGTTACGGCGACAAAGACAGCGAGGAATGCTTTGGAAATTTTTTGGTTTTCAATTTTGGTACTAGTTAGCATCTATCCGTACTACTAGCCATGAAATCTTTCGTGGGCGATGATTGTTCCCGTTCTAATGGGTGTGGTATCCAGTGTAAGAAAAAAACAAGCAGTGATGCTGGCCGGTATTTGTTTGGAAAACAACAGAAACGTAGAAAAACGCCAATGGGAAATTTGTGTCAAATTCCTCACCCATGGCGCCTGCGCAGTCCCACAAAATTCAAAAGGCTACCCCCCCTTTTCGGGCACCCCGCCGCCAATGCAATGAGACATAGGAAAGCCGTAGAAGAACCGACTGAATAAACAAAACAAGAGTCGGGGGTGGTGGTTCATCGGGTTTGCAATGATCCCTAGTTCCCTACCACGAGTATTAGGAGCATGCCGTTGAGTATGCACGCTGCAAGGAAGCTGCTGTAGACGGCCACAGTTTGCCATACACCGATGGGCTCGCGACGGTAGATTGTCATGCCCAGGGCCATGCATGCGCTGAAGAGCGAAGAGACGACGCCGACTGTGACGCCGGCATCAACCTCGACGCGGAGCTTGTGGCGGCCAGTTGTGATCAGGACGCCGGCGACGAGGAGAAGGAGGAAGGACATGGCAAAGCAGCCGATGGTACTCCAGAAGAGTACACGCTCGCGGTACAACCTGACATGCTGCTCGTTGATACTAGGTAGCGCAGCGTAGTGCGCGGCATAACCTGAGTTCGGGATGCCGTCGGAGCTTGCGTATTCGTCGTCGGTATCGGTGCCGAGGGGCGAGATGCCACCGTAGCTCTCGAGTAGGGGGCCGTTGCCCAACAGTCGCTGACTTTCCCCCGACTCTCTCTTTGAGAACCACGTTCTGGCATGGCGAAAGGGTGCCGCGAGAATGGCGCGCATCGAGTCCAAGCCTGGGAAGCTCAAATCGTCATCGGGGTTGATGTAAATGGCATACTCCTCCTCGGCGCCTCCGTTCTCGCTGCCGTCGTCGTACTCGTTCCAGTAGTGCTGCTGCGGCTGGGGTTGTTGACGAAGTGGTTGCCGCGCGGGCGGCAACGGCGTGAAGAAGTCGTTGGCGGAGCCTCGGCGGGACATGTTCTGCTCGTCAGATGAGGGCGAACTGGGCTCGCTCAATTGAGGGACGGAAGTGCGAAGAGTGTTGAGAAGTTCTTCGTAGCGGGTTTGAAGTTGGTTGAAATCTCGGCGGGTGAAACTCTTGGGGTTGGCCAGTACGTTCTCGCGAAACCGCGCGCCGAGCGTGGGTGACCCTGTCCATTTCTTGACTCATTGTCAGCGGGATAGATAAGGCGCATTGTGAGACGGGGTATCATACCTTGTACTTCTTTGTGATCTTGCGGAAGGCGACAATCTGGGCGTTGATAAAGCGGGCGAGAGCGAGGATATCCTCGCCACAGCGCAGCAGGTCCCTTTCGTATTTGGCGAATCGGCGGTGCCTCTTTAGTGAAACCTGGTCTCCGTCCTCGGCGCATTTGACAACCAGCTTCTGGACCTGATCGGAGATGTGTTCTGCATCCCAGATTAGCCAATTGTGCTCCCTATCTTGTCGCGTGCTATCAGAGCAACTCACGCATGCGTCGCTGTATCTCGTCCGCCTTACTCGTCACGAACAGGTCGACACGGTCATGTTGCTGACAGAGCTCGTTGTAGAGATTGTCCTCGAACCTCTTGAGGGCGGCATCTTGGTGGCCAGGAATGGCAATGGCCGTGGCCTGGTCGCGACTTGTGTGGACTTTGATCTCGTGCTTTAGGGAATTGTAGTCGACGTTATCTGCAGAAGGTTCTAGTCAGTCGGGCGGTCCATCACATGCCAATTGGGCAGCTCAGCGGGCCTCGCGGATGGGGCGGCGTACGTAGACTCCATTCTGGAACAGACTCCTGCTCGAGTTGTTCGCCGTATTTCATATCCCTAAGGTGTTTCCTCTCAGTCGAGGGATCGTCACCAAATGCGTGGGTTGTAGGTCGAGAGAAAGCGTGTGTGCGCTCGGGTGAAGTGTTGGGGTGACGGCGCGGACGGCTCGTATTTAGTCGATTTGGTATCGGTAGTGCCAGAGGATTGGGACCTGGGACCTGGACTGGGCTGGAAGTGGCAGAGATAAGGGGCCGGGGTCGGCTGTCTTTGAGGATGACGCAATGACACACTCGGCCGGTCAATTCGAGGCGGCTGCGCAAGGTCTGAGAAAAACAGATCACAGCAGGTTGTGAAGTGAGGATGAGATAATGTGCAACGATTCCAGAGGAGGCCGTCGGAAGGGTATCTGACTCGAATTGATGAGTTTTCGGGGAAAGAAAAGCTGGTAGTAATGAGCCGCGGGCTAGGTAGTACTTTAAGAAGGGCCAAAGTCTAAATACAATGAAGACTAATGCCTGGGGATTGGAGAGATTGGAGAAAAGACACGGCTAGTGGCCAGGACGGCGAACTGGGGCCCCTTCCATGACAAAAAAAGGACAACAGGGATCCGATGAGATGGAGAGGGGAGGTGAGTGCAAGCGTGGACTGGGTGGAGGGGGGCGCGAGAGGCAGTGAAGGGTCCGGTTGCATGGGTATTGCTTCTCAAGTGCCATGGATCAGGCCGAGAGAATCCTGACCTGGTCTGGATGTCTGGGTGACATGCGATACCTTCCTGAGATACCTTAAGCACCTCAGATACGGCATGGGCGTCGATACCTCACGTTTCCTTGGGTAGCTACCTAAGGTATTTAGAAAGCCACCAGGCGAAAGGCGAACTAACAAGCTGCTTCCGCTGAATTCTGGACGCTGGAAGTGAAAAGCCGTTCCAGAAGTAAAAAGACTAACAACATGGAATCTTGGAAGGTACCTTGCCAAATTTTTCAGGCAGGTAGGTAGGTGCCTTTCTACATCCGTTCCGCAGGCAAGATACGCCGTTTCCAACGTCAACCGCTTGCACCCGACTGGACAATTGGCATTTGCCATGGGTGTTGAGCAGCAAATAAAAACAAAAACTCCTGTTGGTGTGGTCCCTATCTGCGTCTTCCCTCACCCAACCAAAATCTCTTGAAGACGGAAGGTAGATAGAAAAAAAAAGATGGCTGTCTGTAGCGGCTACGGCTACGGCTACGGCTACGACTGCTGCATGCCGGTTCTCAAACCCTTGGAGGCCTTGGAAGCTACGTCTTGGCTCGCAGCAGCATTTGTAGGTGAAGCAAGTGCTGCAACCCCTCGTCTCTATGACGCCGGTAGGTGCCACACGTTGCAAATCTTGGCCAAGCACGCCGAAGTAGGTACTCTGTAGCTGCACTCTGTACGCATCAAAAACAAACCTTCCGTGTGTTCCTTCCTTATCACCGACTTCGCTCGAGCCTAGAGGTAAGGTAGCGCCGTGCCGAGCCATCTCTCGACCTGAGGTACCCGCTCGCAGGGCGTTAGCACGCTGGCAATATGGCGATGGGTACAATGTTGGAGCGAAACGTTCATTCATGGAGGAGGAAGACGTGGATGACACCGGGCGCTGGTGGATGAGCGACCCAACGATGCCCACTTCGGACCCGGGGTCGAATTCCTTCAGGGACCCTCCTTTTCCAAATGCGAAAGTGCGAAAGTCCACTCGTTAAATCATCGTCGCCAGAGAGATGCCCAACGCAACGCACAGCATGGCAAGGGGTGCCAAGACTTGTATCATTATCACGCGAAGGTATCGTACACTGCGCATGGGCATCTATCTCATGTTGAAGTGGGCAGAAAGACGGATTGCGTATGGATTGGCACGGATTGTGAGATGGCCGTTACCCTTGACGTTGCAGTTGCAGTTGCAGTACATATTTACAATCATGGGCGGATAAGGTGAAGAATTGAAGGGTCTCTTCGGCTGCTCTGAATGGTGTTTCGCACCTGCCCTGCAAATACTCCGCCTGCTGCAACTGCAAGCAAGTGCAAGGCAAGTGCGAGTGGTGACAGGCATGGCATCTCCACTCTTTCCTCCTCTCGGCGACGTGTGTGTGCGTGTGTCAGGGAAGGGGAAGGAGGCTCCAGTTCGCTGCTGCCCTGCGATACGGGACGTGACCCCCGTGCCTTCCATGTCCCCTCCTCCCCTCCTCCAGCCCACGGCTCTGTCCCTCTCCCCACCCCCTTCATGTTAGGCAATTCTTGCTCATCTCGGCCATTCCTTCCCTTCACGTCTCTTCGTCTCCAACTCCCCTACAACATCAACGAAACGACGTCAATTTTGGATCAGAGACCCGAAGATATTCCTTCCTCTCACTTTCACTCGTACGCCAAAGAAGGCATCAACCAAAACCACTCTGCACGTCGTACTTCCTCTCGCCATTCTATCCGAGCGGAATGGCCGGTGGAAACCAGGAAATCTCTGTTTCTGAGCATCTTTTCTGCTCTAGCGTGACAGGGGCAAGGGGACCACTCACAATGCAGCTTCACATCACGATGGCCTTCTCGGTTACCCTCTTCGGTGCCAGCAGAAGCTCAAGCTCAACCTGAGCTGAACAACGAGTGGTGCGTGGCAGCAGAAGCCGTGTTACCATACTGCGTACGTCCCGCCTCTTGTCACTCGGACTCGGCAGGTTTGAGGCGAGGCCGCTGCCATCATCTGCATGCCTTTCTAACCGAGCAGATGCCTCTCTTCCATTATGGATACCTTCGACTTCGCCCGCGACTTGCGGTCTGGCCTGTTTATCCTATCTGCCAAAGTCACCTTGAAATCATCGGGTGATTGACTACCATCCTCCCGCGCTTGTTCGGGCTCGTCGGTGCATTCACCACCTCAACATAACCTTGTCTCTTCGCTTGCATGCGACACGCGCACACGCAGAGCTACACCACTACTACTACTACATAGTACATTGCGACATGACAGAGTTTGAGCTTTAGAAAGCGCCTGGCTCAGTCGTTCGCGGCCTCGGCCCCAGTTCACCGGCACGCCAAAGCCCGGCCTGGCGCATCGCATCCCGGCGCAAACGAGACCAGGCACGGATAAGATTCCAACCTGCTGCCCGCTCCTCCGTAAGCGGAAGAACCTAACTCGCCTCAGTCAGCGAGCACATGCTCACTTGCTTCATTTGACAACTGGCTGTCGCACTGCCTATGGCGACAAGATAGACTTTGTGTCACCCCGCAAATTCCTGTCCGCTGGCTGGCTGGTCGACTCTTGATCGAAAGCCCATGCAATGAGGGACGCTTTACATGCCATGCGACACCATGCCAGCCAGTCGTTGATCGAGATGCCTGGATTCGTGCTACCGCACGGCACGCTGGTCCAACGCCTTTACTGACATGCACCTTGGCCATCATTCGGTGCCGTCTTTGCGCCTGCCCTTCTGGACTTTTCAATCCGACCAATCATTGCTCGAATGCATCCCTTCCCTATAGAGTTTAGCGGAGTTGGGTACGAGTCTTTCTTGAATCCCAACATCTGCCTCCGCCGCATTCAACCTCTCGGTTTTGATACCCAGAACAGGCCCATCACTCAGCACACCGACACCGTGGTTCGGATACGAATCGGTTCTCAGAGCGGACAGACCCGATACCTAAGCCGAGTCTCAGAATGGCCAACCAAACGCCGGCGGCGAGAGAGCTTGAAGACCAGCTTGCCTGCTGAGTAAGGATTCTGTAAACATTGATTGGCTGGCTTCTCATTTACCAAATCACATTCACTAACATTCCTCAGTATCAGATTGTCAGTCAGCAGCGAATAAGCTACCACGAGCTTCTCTCCATTTCTCTCCGTTTCCCTCCACTTCCTCCACCTACTGGAGATGCATCGCAATGGAGCTGTTGGCCATCAGTTGCCAGATGCGCCTTGACCACCCTGCTTCGTCTGTCCAGGGTCCTGCTTCCCGGCTCATGGCCCGCGGTGAGCCGCTTACATGCAAAACTCCACTTTGTTGCTGCAGCCGTTTGGGTGGATCAACAAATGCTGGCTGTCGTATATCCCACGTGCCCAAATCAAGAGATCTATTGGCCTGGATCGTCTTTGCATCCCAGCTCTCGTACGCAAAGTCGCCGCAGACGTGCATCATTAGGCATGAGGTAGCCATGGAATTTCCAACATCTCGCCCACTGTGGCGGTTTGCTACCGATAGGTCACTATTGAGTCTTGCCGTCAAGACAAGCAAGATCGCCAAGCCACGGCTCGACTGCAGTGTAATCAATCGTATTGGTGCAATATCTTACTGCAAAATGCACTGATTGAAGCAGGTAACGGCGTTCGGTAGAGGAGTTTTTGGGGTCTCAGACATATCAGTTTGTACTCGCTTACGCTCTCAGCTCTCAAACGCCCGCGCTGGGGTCTTCTCGTCGGATTGGAGCGGCAAAAGACCACATGTTCCCTTCCGTTGTCTGCACTTGCGGATTGTCTGCAGGACGGTGGCATTCGAGGATCTGGCACCGACCTTCGGAACCGATGTCGAAAGAACATGCAGCACCTAGCCTTCCGGGCAGTGTTCATGTAACGTTTCCAGGGCTCTCGCGAAGTGTGCATGTGGAAATGGAGACGATTTCGTTTATGAAGACCCCAAATAACCCCACCATCACGCCTGAGACGGGAAAGATGGAAAGGAGACTGCGTCGACCTGCGATGCAAAATACCCTTGCCCAACACGGAGCCACATCCGCACAGATTTCGAGACCCTGTCGCGGGTAGAATCTCGACTGTACGGATAGTGTAATTGCAGTCATACCAGCCTCGGCGGAGTCAGCACAGAGACGGGTTGGAACCTCGGAGGGGGGAATCGCCCCAAAGTCCCACTCGCCGGGAATTTCGACAGCAAGCACGCGACTCTATTCCGAATCCGTCACCGAGACACCTCCCGGGCGGCCCACAATTCGGGGGCCGCCGGACATCATACACCAATAACGCGCCGATGGAACACAGTCGGCCGCTCGAAAAGGCATTTGCTCGCGTGCCCAACACGTATCAATGGTCAAAAAAGCA